GCGGAGGGGCCAGCGCGGCCGCAGTCGCCTTTGTGTGGAGCGCGGTGGAGGCTGTGCGACCGCAATCCATTTGATGCGGTCCGTACAGGGGGTCTAAGAGGGGGTATAAATAAACGGAAATTTTAGTTATTTTTCACTTTTCAAAACCCCAAAAACATAAGAGGCGATTTTTCAAATAACCTTTTCTTCTCCACAACGTTGGTAAGTGATTTCTAACTCATTTTCTTCACTCCTTAACATCTTTTAACATAATTTCAACTTCAAATCAAAGATTTTCATGGGGGAAATTGGGTGTTTTGGGTAGAACCTAGGTTTTTTTTTTCTAAAATTGGGGATTTGGACCTCAATTTGAGGTCCCATTTTAAAACAGATTATGTATTTGGATTTGTGGGAGAATGGGTTATCGGGTTTTGGTCCGAACCTCGGGTTTCGACCACGTAGGCCCCGGGGTGATTTTGACTTTTGGGTAAAACTTTGGAAAAACTCATTTTCATGCATTGGGGTTGATTCATTTAGCACTTATTGATGTAATTAAGTAACTTGTGACTAGATTCGAGNCCGTGGGTCTTAAATTGAAAGTTGTTGTGTTCTTGAATGACACTTTGTATGCTTTAATTAATGATCTTCTATGATTGAGCATTTTCATTAATTGAACTGAGTACCAGCTAAGTGAGATTGGTTATAGCTGATTCTTCCTTGCCGGGATGACTATTTCGATATTGTTGTTCCCTTGCCGGGAAATTTTTATATTGCTTTTGTTCCCTTGCCGGGAATTTATTATTTCACTTATGTTCCCTTGCCAGAATTTCTTGTGATTATGTGATGAACTGTAAATGGGAGCGGGTGGTACGCCTACCACAAGATATTATGAAATGGGAGCGGGTGGTACGCCTACTATAGGATATTATGAAATGGGATCGGGTTGCACGCCTGCAAGATGGAAACTGAAAGTGAAAGCTGTCTTTACTTCTCTTTATCTGTGTTAGAAGTTATATTATTAACTTCCTTGTTATTTCTTGTTATTTTGTTTTGTCAGCTACCCCCGAAGCATGTTCCCATTCCCCAGCTTTAATTGCTTATTACTTGTTGTTTTTCTGCCATATGTTATATAACTGCACAGGTTTATCTGGAGTCTGGTCCTAGCCTCGTCACTACCTCGCTGGGGTTAGGCCAGACACTTACCAACATATAGGGTCGGTTGTACTGATACTACACTCTGCACTGTGTGCAGATCCTGGAGCAGCTTTCGGACAATAGTTGGAGGGCTTCCTTCAGTCCACTCGGAGACCCAAGGTAGACCTGTAGGCTTCCGCAGGCCCTGGCGTCTCCCTCTATCTGTATTTCCTGTTTCATTTCCTTTGTTCAGAAACAGTGTATTGCATTTCTTCAGACCTTATATGTAGAAACTCTTAGACAGTTTGTGACACTGTGACACCAGGTTTTGGTGTATTTGAGGTTTTAAAAGTTGTAATAGACGTAACCTTCAGACATTTCATGGTTATCTTCCGTTTAGTTATTTAAAGTTATGCTATTTTTATGTTATTGCTCGTAATTGTTAAAAGAAAGTAATTTGGTAAGGAATTAGATAGTTAAGGGTTGGCTTGCCTAGCTTTCATTAGTAGGCGCCATCACGACTTCCGAGGGTGGAAAATTCGGGCCGTGACAACGATCTTAATTAATCGGTCTTAGGGTCTCGAGTTCGGCAACCTAACTTTGCACCATAGTTCGATATAACACGAGGCTGATCCTTGGCTTATCGCGCTCCAGTCTTAATCAGTCATATGGAGAAGGCAAGCCCGAATTTGACCGTATACAGTCATGACATGTGCCTTTTATGTAAGGTTTTATCACTTGACCATAGTTATTGATTTGTGTTCTTATTTCAGTTTATTACTTAACCATAGTAAAGTAATATGATTTGGTGCATGCCCCATGTCCGAGTATGATTTTGTCCTCATGCACCATGCAAAACATGCAAATGGACATAAATTGTATACCCCACCACAATAATGCTGTTGAAACCCTTTTAGTTCCGTAAATTTCAGAGTTTTAAGTTACTTTGTGAGCATTAAACGGGCACTTGGACAAATCTTCACTTCTATTTCGAAAGTTTCTCTTCTAAATTGGAATGAGGTTTCTGTAGAGGTATCAAATATCTCCCGACCCTATCATGCTCCAATTTTTCTTTCCACTAATCAGTGCGGATGATATGTACAATACTTGCACAGAATTGACTAGTGTAAATTGACACCCTCTAACTTTTACTAGATATTGCATAAAGCTTCTCTTTTCAACAGCAAAGATGAGGCATTTATATTTAACTACTATTTGGATAAACCAAATATCCACAACAAAGCGAACTTGCAAATTTAGCCGACCACATTTTGTTGCCCCTTATTCATTTATGGTTATTCGATTTTTAGCGCAACACTGCCAATGGCATGTTGTTGTCAGGATTCCTCAGAGTAATGCAACCAGGGGCGAAGGTACATGATGTAAAGGGTGGTGACCACCCTTCGTCGGAAATTACACTACGTATATAGGTAAAATATTAGGATTTAGAGATATATAATATATGTTGAACACTCTTTGTCGGGAATTTTATTCACTTCTTTTAAGTTTGAATACCTTTGAGGAAATTCCTGGCTACGCCACTGAATGCAACGTGCAGAAAATGGCAACATGAGTGTCTTCTTCCTTCTGGATTTTGTCCTTGGGGCAGGATGAAATGTTAGACAACAATATAAACACAAAAATGAAATGTATGACCAACTCATTAAACAAAGTGAAGATGCATTAATTCCCATTAATATTCTTTTTGTATACAAATCTTCTGTTGCCCCCTCATATACTAAGAATTCGTCTAGCTAAGAGCGACTCACCAAAAAAGGGTATATACAGCAGGACATATGAAATGGTAAAGAGTGCCATTCTATTGATTCTCCATTTACAAAGAAAGAACTTTCTACCCAATGACGCTAATCTGCCAACCTAAAGTTTATCACTTGATGATGGCTTAAGTTCATTCTTGGTTCCTCTTCTCTCTTTCTTTTAGGCAGAGATAACGAAGACATAGCTCTGGCTGACACCACCTTTCTAACAAGTGATTTCCACAGCTCATCATCTCCCCTTTGTTGCACCTTCACTTTAAACTGCCTGTAATGTAAATAATATATAGAGCTGTTAAGATGACTTACCAACTACATAAACACAAAAAAAACGAATGATCACTGTATCAGTTCAAGGAATTGACCTTACTGATAAAGCAGGCAAACAAAGTTATCTAAAGCTGATACTTATGTTGTATATGTGGTCCTATTAACTTTATTCAATGCAACATGTTTGGAACTCATTCAAGATATTTTCTTGAGGAACAGGATAAATGGACACGTTACAACTAGATAGGATCCAAACTAACATGTTACGAAAGGTCAGGGGTCCGACTGCTCTCTTAAGTTTTGCTTCCTTCTAGGATAGGTGCACCATGGCCGTTATAGTCGAAATGGGACCGTGAATCATTACCACTACTTGGATAGGTCGCATTCACATCAAGAACAACCCACTTGGCACTTAGAATCACAGTAGACGTTGGGGAAAAAATCTTCATGAGTAGACTCATCTTCGCACGAAAGTAAGCAAAATCACTTGCCAGCTAATGAGAATTTTAATGACTTTCTACTTCAAAACTAAAACACCCATAAAAACTGAAAATATCCAACAAACTGATGTTAACTTGACTCAATCATGAATTAGAGAAGAAATGGACAAATTAGTGACAGTTGATTCGTTGCGTTTTTCTATAGAGACAAATCAACTAATAACATCAAGCTCTGACATGTCACCTAAAAAAATTTCAAGGTTGAACATGACAGACCATATGGTATAGGATCGGGGCCCATCAAATCAGCAAGGCAGCTGCCTGCTTCGATCGGTGATCCTTCTATAATGATTTACATATTTTAGTTACTACTATAATTATTGAGATTCCCTTAAGTGATCAGTACAACAATAGATTAATAAACTAGTTACTCAGTAGTCAGTGGTTACCCGTGGCAGAGACAAGAATTTCTCTTGAGTGGCGTCAAAATATAAAAAAAGTAAACATACGAAGAAAGCAAAAGAACACATAACATATGTACATAAAATTAAATTTTTGAACTAGTTAAACACTGTAGTTTTCCAGGTGTCGATTGACACCCCATAAACATAGCCAAACAATATAATTTTCCAGTGAAGGGGTGTCAGACATAAGGCGTCAGCCACCGGTGGTTAATTACCTGCAAAGGGGAACCCGGCAATCTTCTGGTTGGTCACAAACGGATGCGTGTAATCTTAGGAGCTGCCACATGCGCTTGCATCGCAAACAACTTCCGTTGGCCCTCTTCTTACAAGTAGCGAAATGACGGATCAGAAGCTGGAGCCCTTGACAGGTCTCAAACTTGCTACATGGCTGCCTTTTCTGGGAAGATTCCTTATTATGTGGCCCAACGCTTGTACATCCTTCTGTACAAATATGCTCCAAACAATCCATGGCTTCGCTGAGCTGTAAATACAAATTCAGCTCCTTCCTGTGTCTTCTCGTCCTCTTCTTTCGCTATAATGACAAATTTACGATGAAAAATCACTAAGCTAAGCCACTTGACTGATAAAAAAGATGCAAACAATTGCCATGTAAAGAGTTCATGACAAGCACAAACCTTTCGAGTGTTTCATGATTAATTGAAAAACTTCAACGTTGTTATGAATTCCATGCAAGATTATATTTTGGATTTTATTTGAAATTATATGCAATTCTGTATGAGCTAGATAAAGGGATATATGGTAATTGTATCAGGTTATAATTACATACCAACTCAGCCTCATCCATGAACTGTAAAATTTCAAGTTCAAGAAAGGGGTCATGATCTTGAAGGAACTTCCAGCCCTCAGTCTCCTCAACTTTCTTGAAATTGGTTGACAAAAATTTCATGGACTTGAGGTAGAGATCTGGTGCATCACATAGCCTTGCAAGTTGAAGAACATCTACTGCATTTTCAATCGTCAATCTCTCAGCCAACCCTTTTGTGCATCTCTGCTTTAGCTGTGGTACCAAGTACACATGAGAAAGTGCTAGCAGATGAATCCCATGTCTCTCCATCTGCTCTTCAGTGCACCTAAATACAAGGACAACTTGGTCATATTAGACTCTCACCCTTTCGGTAATAGGCTGGGTTAATTTTTGGTTTTAAGTTCCTGATATTTTAGATAACGTTTAAACCACTTTACACCATTCAATAAGAAACATGAAATGATAATAATTTGGAAAATAAGGTAAAAGAAACTTATAATAATTGGTTAAACGAAATTGATGGTATAAAAATTATTTACATTATCAGTAGTTTATACAGCTTAAAACATTAGTTTTTATTCGTAAAATTTCTTTTTACATAATTAAGTTGGCCTAGGCATCTACCCGACGCCGACTAGAGTTTGAAGGAAAACAAAAAATATGTGATTAGAGAATCTAAGAGTCAATGATGAGCCTCGCAAGGCATTTAACAAATGACAGCCAGATTAGCATTGAAGACCAATCACCTATTTTCTAATGAAAGAAGGAACCAATACTTAAGCGTAGAAGAATCTATTATTATGGTCAAAAGTCAGTATATTCAATTCCAACTTGGACGGAGCCAATCAGATTTGAAGTATGTACGAGATTAACTATACCAGAATATAAAGAAAACAAACCGATTTGCGTGTGTTTTTTTATTTGCGTGTATTTTGGTAACTTACGTGAAGGAATGTAGAAACCGGATGAACACGGAAACGGCATCGCACGGAACGCCCAGAATCCGAATGGTTTTGTCAGAGCTCCGCCGCTTTTGCGGCCGAAGTAGTATGCTCTCCAGAACCGTCGACGCAGCAGCCTACCATCATGTTTCGAAGATATCAGTAGTTTTCAAACTGAAAAAGAAGCTGCTTATAAAACATAAAAATGGAAATTGATTTGATTTACTTTTTAAGAATCGGATCTTTGTTTCCGGAATTCAATTCCCAGCAACTTATAAGAAAGCTGTAGTTTTATTTAAAAATAGTTACTAGTAGTGACAAGTTTATATATAAGTGCGTACCAGAAGGGTGGAATGCGTTGGAATGCGGAGGCCGCTGGAGGTGATGATGTGAACATCGGCTTCAGATATTTCGCCGTAAAATCCATCGGCATCGCTACCAAAGTTTTCTCGTGACATGATAACTGAATTTTTGGACTTGATGAATGATGATATCTTTCGGTTCGATTTTTCCGAAGTAATTGGCGAGAGCATTATGGGCTTGTGTCCAGTATATATAAGCACAGGGAAGACTGCCAACTACCAAAGTTGCGCTTACCTAGACAACAATGTTATCGGGGGCAGTTGATATTTAGTGCTACTGTTGCAGATATTTTATTACTTTTATAAGTGTAACTGTGTTACGGAACGTTCCAAAGGGCATCACTTCTTACGAGTTAGTATGATTTTTCAATTCGCCAGCATGTATACTATTACCAATTACGACGAAACCACCGTGCCTGACGTAATGGCCCACGATACCAAGCCATGAATATTAATCAATCAGCCACCAATACCAGAAAAATACAAATATATATATATATATATATATAAGAAGAGAAACAAATGTTAGGGCAAAATAATTTCCATGTTTAATTAGTACAAGATGTGGTTGGTACCTAATTACCTATGTCTTTCACCACTCATAATTACTCCAGGTAAAGAAGATAGTGCAGTTTTGTCCACTCTTATATTGTAGAGAAGCAAATATAACAGCTGATATTTTTGGCAAGTAATGGAGCAAGTGGAATCAAAAGATTGCGTGGAAGCATGAATATTGCTTCTCGCGTAGCAACAATCAACCGTCAAGTTTATCGTACACCGTGGCCTAAATTTGTCCAATGGCTAATCTTGGAGCAAAGCAAATTTACAGCCAAAACATTCTAGCTTGGAGCTAAAAAAAATAAAAGTACTTTCTTTTATTCTTTTTTTTTTTTTGGGGACCAAGAACTTTGTCCTATAAATATGGGTCATCTTGCTTTATTTGAATTATCCCATATTTTGATTAAAAATTTATTTTGAGTATTCTTATAATAGAGAGTTTTGTTATATTCCATAGAGTTAGTATTAGGAAACATTTTAAGTGAACCTATTCTTTGTGAGTGATTGTAGCGAGGTTATTCTATTGGGCTATATTTTGGGATAATTAGAGTTTTATCTGTAATTCTGTACTCTCTTTTGTGTACCGATTGTTATAGTGAAACTGTTCATCTCCGCTTGTGGACGTAGGTCACCTTTACTTAACCACGTTAAATTTTGTGCCTTATTTATCTTCTTTAATTATTGTTATTATGAACTTGCATTATCTTTGTTATTGTCATTATAACGTTGTTTGACAAAATTTTGCACTACCTGGTGTAGACAATAAATTGCGTCAAGAAAATAAAATCAACGACCGAAAAATATTGCAACAATCGTAGTATTTTATTTCGAATATTTGAGTGTACAACCTCTATGAATCCTCTGATTCTTCTTTTTAATAGTAAATAAATTCAAGGGCCTTTGAGCTTGATCTTGAATATGTAGTTGTCGCCACGAACGATACTCTTGTTCTTGAGCTTTAGCTTGATTGCTTGAACTTGACCTTGATTTGTTCTTCGTTCTTGAGCTTGAACTTGATTGCTTGAAGCATGTGGAGGAATTTGCAGTGCTTGATCCACGAGCTCTTTTCTGCTTCTTGTTATAACTTCTGGTATTTTTTTTGAGTTATGAAGACCTCTATTTATAGTTGTGGAAAGGACGAGTTGTGATAAGAACAAACTCTTTCCGTCCAATCAAATTGAAGTGTGACATGGCCGCATTTGATTGGCCAGAACATGTCACTTATACACGTGGCGCGATTTCATTGGCCTTTTAGTGTGACTTGGCATGCATGCCTTGTCATTTTGACACGTGGCATGATCCTATTAGCTCTTCCGTTTGACTTGGCGCGCCACGTCATTTGACATGTGGCACTAAACTGGGCCTCTAGGAAGATGACATCTTGGACTTAATGAAGTGGGCTCATCACTTTAGGCCAATTAAATGGGCTAGCCCAATAATATTGGACTTATATAATTAATCCAATTATATTAGCCCATAATATTTGTTTGGACCAATATATCTTTAATTTAAAATATAATCCAAATTATTTTATGGATTCAATTTAAATAAAATTTATATGCCTACAAATGCCCCCCCTACTTCAAGGCTCGTCCAGGTATAAATTTTAACCACTAGACTTGGAGTATTTGATGAAGACAACATACCCTTTATTTTCATTTCCACGTAACTTCGTAAGTCAATATGAATACATGGATCTGTTGCAATTCTCAACTACTTATTTGACTTACACTTCCATGTATTTCACATTAAAAAGCCAAAGCTTTGCTGGTGTAATCCCAAGCATCCTAGATGACATAAAATACAAACTTTAACGCATTGATAGAAATTCAATTCATATAGGATTTCTCTTTTCTACTTAACACAGAACTCCTAAATTTACACATATTCTCATGCGCCAAAAGCACGTCGTGTAATTGTAACTGAGCTAGGATACCCAATTCCTTTTGGATTACAAGACTTATTGCTCCCACATTGACAAAGCCACTTAATATGTTGCCTTGAGAAATCTATAAATAGCGACATTCCTCATGTATTTTGAGCATCAATCAGCTTTTGTCATCTTCAAGCAGCTCTTGAGTTCGTGTTTTGACGACTCGAAAGTGCTAGTATTCGAGGTAATTTTTTTTTTATCTTCTTTTGCGTTTTCTTCTTTTATTGATGTTTTTTTGTAGGACTAACTTCGTCGAATTACGAAGTACTTTAAAAGTTCGAGACGAAGGCCTTTAAAAGTTCGTGGTGAAGATCTTTAAAATTTGCGGGGAAGACTCATACAAGTTCGCGGTGGATACCTTTAAAATTTGCGGCAAAGACCCATAAAAATTCGTGCAAATATCCTTAAAAGCTCGTGGTCAAGATCTTAAAAGTTCACAGTGAAGACCTTTAAAAGCTCGCAATGAAGACCTTTAAAAGTTTGCGGTGAAGACCTCTAAAAGTTTGCGGTGAAGACCTTTAGAAGTTCGCAGTGAAGATCTTTAAAAGTTCGCGACGAATACCTTTAAAATTTGCGGGGAAAACCCATAAAAGTTCGTGTGAAGATCCTTAAAAGCTCGCGGTCAATACCTTTAAAATTTGCGGCAAAGACCCATAAAAGTTCGTGCAAGGATCCTTAGAAGTTGGTGGTCAAGATCTTTAAAAGTTCACGGTGAAGACCTTTAAAAGTTCGCAACGAATATCTTTAAAATTTGCGGGGAAGACCCATAAAAGTTCGTGCGAGGATCCTTAGAAGCTGGTGGTCAAGAATTTTAAAAGTTCACAGCGAAGACCTTTAAAAGTTCGCGGAGAAGACCTTTAAAAGCACGCAATGAAGACTCTTAAAAATTCGTGGCGAAGATCCATAAAAGTTTATGGTAGAAATCTTTAAAAGTCGGCAATGAAGACCCTTAAAGTTTTCCACGAGCACCTTTAAAAGTTCGAAGCATATGCCTTAAAAGTGCAGAACGAAAACCTTAAAATCCGACTACCTTTAAAAGATTGAGACGAACACCTTTAAAAGTTCGCGACGAAAACTTTTAAAAATTCGGATGCCTTTAAAAGTTCGAGACGAACACCTTTAAAAATTCGCCACGAAAACCTTTAAAAATTCGGATGCCTTTAAAAGTTCGAGATGAACACCTTTAAAAGTTCGCAACGAAAACCGTTAAAAATTCAGATGCCTTTAAAAGTTCGAGACGAATACCTTTAAAAGTTCACCACAAAAACATTTAAAAATTTGGATGCCTTTAAAAGTTCGAGACGAACACCTTTAAAAGTTCGCAACGAAAATCGTAAAAAATTCGGATGCCTTTAAACGTTCGAGACGAACACCTTTAAAAGTTCACAATGAAAACCGTTAAAAGAAGTCTGACACAGACATCCCCCTTTCTTTAAGGCAGAGGGGTGACTTGGAGACCAACAAACTTGAAGGTTTAGTGAACCTGAAGGCACAAAGAATCCCTGGACTTCAATGCAAATACTTGACATCCTCCTAAAATCGGCCCATTGAAGATATCACTTTACCATGGAGGGTTGCCCCCTTTAAATCAAATGAGGTCAAAGTTCAACATGAGGATGGCATTTCAGCTTGATCTTACATTCCTTCATGCTTCAGTCGAACAATAATTGAGGCAATATGTATCTTTTGAACTTGTGTGACTGGACTTAGAATGAAACTCTAAGCTGCCTACGTGATGAAGAGGATCAAGTCATATCGTAGTTCAGACTGGGTGATTTTTTTTATGTCCTAACTTTTGCCTAGGCCGCCTCTTTCGAAGTTTTCAACCTAGCGGACTCTTTTGTTTTTGTCCTAACTTTTGCCTAGGACACCTCTTTCGAAGTTTTCAACCTAGTGGACTCATTTTTTTTTGTAGGGGTCGTACACAATTTAGGCTCATGCGGGCCAGGAGTGTAACAACATGCAGTTTAGGCTCATGCGTCAAAGAGCGTTGCAACTTCAAGGATAATACTTCTTCAAAAAATTTGCCATTGATAGCGCTGATTCTCATGCCATCTACATCAACCAGCTTGTAAGCCCCACTTGAGTAAGCTTCTTGTACGAGATATGGCCCATCCCATTTTGAAGTGAACTTCCCTACAGGTTTTATGGGAAGTAATTATGGGTCTTCATACGTCAAGGACTTGATCTCCCACTTGAAAGGATCTTGGGCGAACTCTTTTATTAAAGGCGCAAGATAATCGAGCTTGATAACATTCAAGACTCTGTTGAGCTTCCAACCTCTTCTCATCAAGAGCCTCCAACTCTGCTAATCGAAGTCGAGAATTTTCTTCATCAGTGATCCCTTCTTGGATAGCTAATCGTAATAAAGGTATTTGACGCTCGAGTGGCAGGACGACTTCGACTCCATAGACAAGTGAATAAGGGGTCTCTTGCGTTGGCGTGTGGTGAGTTGTCCTATATGCCCACAGAGCTTCTTCCATACGGTCATTCCAGTATCGTTTAGATTTGGAGACGACTTTCTTTAACAAGTTTCATAGAGTCTTGTTGAATGCCTCAGCTAGACCATTGGTGGCAGCATTGTACATCGAAGAGTTATGTTGCTTGAAGCCAAAGAGATCACAAATCTTGTTCATTAGCCTATTATCGAATGGTTTTCCATTATCCGTTATTATGTAACGAGGAATGCCAAAGCGATAGATACTGTTTACTCAAATGAAACTTGCAACATGTTCCTTCTTTACTTCCTTAAGAGTAACAACTTCG